TTTATTTTGGACTGTCGCTCAAACCATCATCAGAGGCAACCGCATATAAGAGGGCTAGATGCACAAGGTGCGTATTGTTTTCTGACAAAGACTGCAGAATATGGATACGTACACTACCCATCAGGGGAGTGAACAAGGAAAGGAGTCAATATGTCAGGGAAAAAAACTCTTCGAACCGGATTTATCACATTTTAAGCATCATTAGTATTTCGCTGTCATTAAAAAATCTAACTGGCTTTTACTTTTAGATATCAGCATGTTTACTGTGTATCAGGCTGCATCTCAGGAGGGCTGGGTCTTCATAATGTATCGCGCAATGGACTGTCTGCTTCCCTGGAAAGGTGTGGCATACTTCATCAGCATGATCTTCATGCTGGCTTGGCTCGTCAAGGTGGGTTATTCCAGGAAAAATGGTCTTCAGCCTTAAAATCGGAGGATTATGTCCGGATATACCTAGCGATAGATTGACTATCTCATAACATGACAACAAAACTTCTAAATTATGTTTTACGACTGTAATTGTAATTGTCATCCACCCTAATCTCAAAATACTTCAGCCACATCCAAATTCTGCTCCTTTTAACGAGCTTCTTTTCGGCCATTTGCGAAAACATATTTCATGTGAAAAAAGACAACTAAAAAGGCACGCCCTTTTCCCACTTATTTTAGATGCTCTTATAAATCTCTATATATATTTTATAGAAAAAAGTGCATAAAAATATTATCTTTTAGACTTATGCGATAGAAAACTACTTTCTATTCAAGGTTGATACTGGAAGGAAGGATATCTTTTGGTTTTTGAAGAACTTTGCAATTGCCGAATAATTTTGAATCTACTTGCCGTTCCACTTGTATGCAGACTGCATGCTGTCTGCACCCGCTCGAAGAAAAATCACATATTTTTTGCGCTATGAGGAAGAAGTCATTAAATGTTCATATTATTTTGCTTTTTGTGTGCACCGTGTTGTACACTTCGTAAGCAGCATTAATAAATAAACATATAAATTGCCCTATGAATGCAATTGTCCTCGATTGCGAAAAACTCATAAGTAAATGCACTTTATTCAAGTATAAAATCTGAAGACGTTATTTTTTACCAAATGAGTAGAATAAATAATATTTTACTGCACTTTTTTTATAAAATATATTTGAATTTATGAAGGCATTTAAAAACAATCAAAAAGTCATGCTTTTCAGTAGCCATTTTTTAAGCGTGCAAAGTTTTTGCGGGAAATTGGAACGAAGCTCGTCCAAGAACGGACAATCTGGCATAACTGAAGAATTTTTAAAATTTCGCTGCATGATTGTTAATATTGTAGCCCGACTTAGGTAACCTTTTAGAAACTAAAACACATGTCAGCATTTTGGTTGGGATTTAAGGTAATAGCAAAGCTACTGTTGGTAGTTTAAAGTTCTATTACTTGAGAAAATGTAGTTTTGTCATGTCTTAAAAGTGAATAGAGCTAATTATGGTGTATGTTATTGAAAATATTTCGTGGATCCCCATTTCTCAGTTTGAGGCATTGCTCACTCTTCCCATCATATAAATCATTGACATATATCCAAAGTTCAGAACGTGACTCGCTATCATTCACCCATCCATTATGTGTTTCAAGCCATTTTTTTATTTTGGCCAATCTGCGCTGGAGATAAGTACTGCAACGCCCAAGAAAATTACCTACGCTCTCTTCTATCCCTAGAACGTTTTTATCGCCGTGCTGACAGAGACATTCGCCGAAATCCGTGTCCAATTTCAACAAATGTGGTCACCCAGAATCGCAGCGGACACAGATTCCTCAAAGGTAATTTCAGTAATTTGACATCATAAATAAGATAAGGTTCTCATTTTTCTCCCCTTGCGTAGAAATCGTACATTAAAATGGTTTCCATTGTTGTTTCTACTTCATTCAGAGAAGCCCTATCGCTTAATTGACAAAAAATTATTGGTCTTGATTCCACGGAAGTATTTTTTATCTTCTAAGTTTTAGTCAGAATACGATTTTTCTTAAATGATTACTGTACATGTTTCATTACTTTAGGTCTTCCAATGTGAAGGAGGTGCTTGGAAACTGGTTCCCGTAAACGAGCGACATTCGCGTGGCCTTGCTCCCAAATTCGTGGAGGAGGTATGAATTTGTCTAGTCTTATGCTCTCTCGTCTGTTTACGTCTGCGCGCAAAAGCCAAATTCCCCTAACTCTCTCATAAATTTGGTGAATATTCGTATGGCTTTGCCGAAGATAAATTGATACTTAATGCATGCACACAAACAGTGGGATTGGGGTGGGTAACGTGAACGCAAGGCGGAAGGCAAGGCGACCGTGAGAGTGATAGCAGTAAAATCTGGATGGGCAGAAAATAATTTGTTTCATAAGTGTTTAGCTTCTGCGCACAACCCTGTTACAAGTCATTTTATAGAAAAAAACTAGTTCAGGAATGTGCTGATTCATTGGATTAGGCCATCTATTTAGTTTTCCAACCGCAAAATTGATTGGAATATCTATTATTTATCAAATGTTTCATGAATTAATCGGAAAACTTTCGCAGCAACTCTCAAACATGCAATAAACTCTAGGGTGGATGGGTCCAGCGGTCAAAATTGCTTCAACTCGTTTTCTGTTAGGAATTTCGGCTGTCACTAAACAAAAGATAAGGTAGCGAAACATGACCCTGAACCGTTTTCGTTTATTTGGAGAACAGCCTGTTGCAACAGTAGACAACACCGCAAAGTATCGTTGGGACTGGAGTAACTTGCTTTCAAGGTGATGATGAACAGCATTTGTCGTTAAGATCCTGTTAACTGGGCAATATTACGTTACTACCGTTATGCTTGAATCGACTTTTTAAACAATATTTTTGTAAAACTTGGCTGAAAACGCCTCGATATACCACTGTATCGACACTGTGGTTTACTCAGAGAGGGTACTTAGATTAGTCCTTCTTTATGATGAGTAAACTCGATTAAGTCTTTAATTAGCACTCATGTAGTATAGGAATGGTGGCCTGATTGCTTGTAAACGCCAAAAATACTGAAGTATATTTTGCATGATAGACGTGCAGTGTTGTGTGCCTTTACACTAGTATGAGCATTTTAGCCTCTCCTTAGTTCTGGCCAAATTTAAAAAAACGTGTTCCAGCGTAATAAGCGAGGTTATTTAAGCCACGAGCTGCGAAAGTCTATCGCCGTACAATGTAGGTTGGTTGAATTCCTTTACCAACCCAAAAGTGACTGGGCGAGTGGTTTAGAGTTATGATCATATGTACCGACTTTGTGAGATCGCCTACAGACCGGAAGAATAAAACGCCGCGTTTAACAAAGATTGTGAAACAACATGTCGTTTTTCTTGCCTGCACGTCCACAACCTTATCGATGTATCACTAATTCGGTTGCTTTTTGTAGACACTACTGAAATCCACCGGTTTCAACATTGTTATCATGTTGCTCGTTTTGGCAAATGCAATAACCGCCGCAGGCCAACACTTCAATCATTACCGCGTACGCATGGATGATTCCAATGGAGAAATCTACATGGACGGATTTTATTTCGCCGAGGTCTGCATATACCAAAATAACCTTTTAGATTTTGAAATCATTTTCCACCTGAAAGTCTAATTTGAGGGAAATTCCTCCCCAGATTATTTTGTCTTAGCGTTTGTATGTAGCCTGTAATTGACAATTTAATAATCATTTAATAATCTTTATTTTCAGAAGTGTTGTCGTATGCTTGCTATGGCTCCAGTGTTCTCAAACAAATAATTCCTTCAACAATAATTTGCTGCCGTTTTAGGTTCTTGCTGTCTTTATTCTCGGCAAACCACATTGCATCACATTCCGTGAACATACCCTTTTAGACGGATGCTTCTATATAAGAAGTTAACAATCACGTATTCCTAGTGTTTGGATCGTTGCAGTTATAGGGACTAACACACTGTGGTTCACCATTGTAAAGCAGCCCTTAGCTTTCCTTAAATGCCAGCAGTCAGGCGAAAAAATAAGAGAATGCATTAAGGTCCAGAGCTCTCTCTGTAAAAGTTACCTTTTGAGTACATAAAAGCATTCGCTGGCGCAAGCACCATCGGGAAGATAAGATGTTGAGAGTGAGTAACTGTACGAGCGGATATAATCCGCCTCTATATATTCAGATTTGTATAAAACTTACGAAGAAAAAACTAGACACGTTCAACCTCCGTTCCCTCATTTTGCCCTATCCCACTACTATGTTTTATTTGGTTAAATCAAGTGTGTACAGTTACGCAGAGTCATGGTCTAGAGGAAGGCAGCAAGAGGAGTGTTCTTGTTATCCTGTAGATTTGTTTGTCTCCTTTTAGAAACAAAAGTGATTCTTTAATTTGTCGTCGCTCTTACAGGAGAAAAACTTGTAAAAGTTAACTCTGTTCTCCATAAACATGACACATATGACCGCCAGAACAGGACACATGAATAGGAAGGCCCGTCCACTTACAAAAAAATAGTCTTGCGATAAATTTGATGAAGCATAAATATTCCCGTGTCTTACCTCTAACGCTGGCTATAACATAAAATTAAAAGGTAACCTTGATCTAAATCCTATCCCTACCCTAATTCTTGCGCAGTCCTGACTATAGCCCCAGCTCTTTCCTTAACCCTAAACTTAAATTTAACCCTAAACTTAATCTTAACACACACTTTAAGATGTAACCTAATTTCCCAGAATTTGACGCAAAGCCACACGCATTATGGGTAGATTCTGCTCCCGTGTCCTGTTTAAGAAGCCATATAAGGCATCTTTGCCGCTTCCTTCTTCACCATCGGCTATTTATTTACTCAGTCTGCATCTGCTAATGCGTGGCTGTGTCATTAGGTAGCGTTCAGCAAAGCAAATACCATGTCAACGGTTTCTTTTTTCTATTTTTTCGCTAAAAGCTTGGATTCACCGTTGTATTTGACCTTGAGGCCATATTCAAAATCTGGTGCCTGGGATGGCGCACTTATTGGTCTCGATCTTTGTTCAAATTTGAATTCATGCTCTGCGTTGGGACTTCTCTGCACTGTATTCCACAACTGTATCGGACGGAATTCACCTACCTCTCTGTAAGTGCTTAGCCTCTTCATTCAGCGAGAAAATACTTTAACACTTCAAATTCTGATGCCATTCCACTAGTGTTCAGAAGGCCTGACTACTGGAGATTATCTCAGTTTAGTGCCAGGAATAATTGCATGGATGTTGTTTGGGCAGAAACGAAGATGATTAAAACGCATTGCTGTTGGGCGGCTAACAAAAGTAATCTGGGCATCGATTTTGAAGTGACTTTTATGATAGCATGTGTTTCTAGATATTACCACACGTCCGTACTTTTTACTCCATTTTCAAAAATAGACCCTATTTGGTGGCCTCTTTCATTGCTTCGCTTACTTGGATTATCTCAGTAGTAGTTTTGTAACTAATTTTTGCCGAAAGTTATTCTTGCGTCCTTCTCTTTGTCTATCTTCTTTCCGGATTGCGTAAAATATGCCATATGTTAATTTCAGGTCTTGCGTATCGTGCGTTTAATTAAAGCCTCGCCGATGTTGGAAGAATTCTGCTTTAAAGTCAGTTGTTCTGCCCTATGTGTATTTCATGTTTGCCGTTATTACTTCAGACGACCTTTTCGTCCTTTGCGACTCGCAACTGTTGCCATTGTGTTCACATTTTTCTATCTGCCTTTCAGATATTCGGTCCTGGAAAGAAATTGGGAAGCCTGGTGCTTTTCACCTCTTGCCTCCTTGTTATCACGTCGACCTTCAGCCTTCAGCTGTTCTGTTTTTTCCAGGCTTTCGATGCCCAGTTTGATCGATTTGAAACTTTTCCAAAGGTAAAAGCATGTGTCTGTTGACGTTGCCTATCTTCAAACACAATTCGCTTGCTTCTTCTTTCCTGCCAAATAACATTCCTCTTCCCATCACCATAACCACGACCACGGCCGCCATAATCATCAGGTTTGTTATTCGCGGAGAAATAGTATCAAACATAAAGCCATAAGGTGGGAAGTAGGCTTAAATGCTCGCAAAAAAACTGAGATTGCCAAATTTGATGTAAATTCTTGTCTGTAAGAGGGAACTGTTATAACGGAGGCCCAGGCCGAGATATTACCGCGCAATGCGTCGCCAAATTGTTGTAATGGAGGCCCAGGCCAAATTATTCGCCGTCTAGTTACGT